CTGCCTTATCTAGTACATCGAGACCAGTCAGGTTTTGTTAAAGGAAGACTCGTACTAGACAATGTCATGACCATTTCACAGACCATAGAGATCATTGAGCACAGAATGTCTTCAGAAGTCATCCTTCTCATTGATTTTGAAAAGGCCTATGATAGAGTCAACTGGGACTTTGTTATCCAAGTACTGGAACATAGAGGCTTTGGACCGGTCTTCTGCAAAGGATCAGTAGCCTCGGTGGTGGTCAATGGTAGAAAGTCTGCTAGGTTCGAACTCTCGAGATCACTAAGGCAAGGCTGCCCACTAGCTCCCCTCCTATACATACTTCAGCAAGAGGTCCTCCTAGATCTGATTCGTAATTCCCAGGCTAAAGGATTACAAGTAACTCCTAACTACCAAATACAAACATCAGCACTAGCTGATGATCTGGCGGTGATCTCTGAAAATTCAGTTCAGTCACTGTCGGAAGTGAGAAATTCCCTTAATCTCTTCTGTAAGGCCTCAGAGGTTAAGGTCAATTGGGACAAATCGGTCGCTTTATCCAGAGACAACTCCGCTCTGGCTCTTGATCTGGGTATGGTAGTTAAAGACTGCGATCACTCTGAAAGATTCTTAGGGATTGAAATATCTTATGGTAATAATGAGAGGAAGCAGGGGCAAATAATAGAAGATAGGGTGATGAAGAGACTCACCTCCTGGTCCAAGGTGTGGTCTATCTCCCTCTTCGGAAGAGCAATAGTGATTAACACTATGGTGCTCTCTACCATATGGTACATCCTCTCTATTAAACCWATCCCATCGAAAACTGAGCAGAGACTCARACAACAGATCGCTAACTACCTATGGAAAGGCTCAATTGAGAGTGGCAAGGCCTTACCGAAGGTCGCCTGGTGGAAGGTCACCCAAAAGAGGGATGAAGGCGGCTTAGGATTACTTGATATTCAGGCGCAGAATAGGGCCTTACTGGTGAAATGGGTAGTTAGGCTCCTCACACTGGATTCCAACCGCCCATGGATCAAACTAGCCCAACAAATTTTGATGGAGGAGTGGGGCTTGACCGACCCTGACAGCATCTGGGCCTGTCTTTTCATGAAGGGTTTTCTTAGAATGAAAATTAAGTCACAGATTTGGGAACCAATCCTGAAAGCCTGGAGTAGTTTACTTCCATCTGTATTAAAATGGCCCACCACAGTAGAAGAAGTGCTGTGCCTGAATCTTTTTGATAACTCGGCAGTAAGAGACCCTAGCAATAACACTTTCCAGATATCTGCTAATTCTTTTGGTACGTCCTGGGTTTGCAGGGGGATTTTCAAGGTAGGACAAATTTGGAATAGAGACACTATGTCCTCGACGACAGTTTCTTAGATCCGCGGAAAATTGGGAGAACTTCATAATATCCAAGATAATCTCGCTCAGTTGGTGGGGGCTATCCCCCAATTCTGGATAACGTTGCTGACATCTAAGGGTATCTCAGTTGGCACCTGGCTGAGATCCAAAGAAGGATACACAGGCTTCCACCAAGTTGAACAGGTCTTACCTGATGGTAAATGCAAAACAGCATATTGGAAACTTGACACCAAAGGAAACCTCAAGAGGGACGAGACTCTGAGCACGGAGATCCACAGAGATGACTACACACAGGTGCTGGCCAGGGAGGAATACAAGATGATCAACGGGACTCAAAGACTCATACCAAAGTTATGCCTGAACGGGATTCCCTTACTCGAGGCGAAAACCCATACCCTGTCAAATGTGGTGGAAAAGAGGGAAAGATGCACCACTCTTGGACTATGCAGTATCCTTGGGATACAGAATACAATCCAGGGGTAATAGGCTGTACAGCACAGTTAAAGCCTCGTGGGATAATTTTTCAGCAGTCGAGGCAATGGAACCCGTAGCTTTTGACCTCTGCCGCAACTTTGGTAAGTCTATCAGATCTCTCCCTGTCGTCAAACATGCAGGCCTTCTCTGGCTCCTACAGATGCTCAGTGTTCCCACAGGTAAGTGGTGTGTTACGAAAGGGATGAAGGTTTCCCTTTTCTGCCACATCTGTTCTCCAGCGATTATTGAAGACATTGCCACATTTGGTGGCATTGCCCAAAAGCCCAGACATTCTGGTCTTGGTGGAAGGATATGTGGGCCAAAGCTTATCCGGAGGAAGACCAGAATGCCCTCTGGAGTAAAGAGTCACTAATCAGGGGAGATGGGCACAATAGAAGCCTTGCTGTCTACCCAGCTTGGGTGTCAAGAGCCCTCGGACCGTGGATCATCTGGTGCAGCAGAAACTCGTCAAGATTCGACTCCCCTCCTCCATCGCTTCAGCAACAACAACAACTGATGYTACAAGGTCTAAAAGGCATCATTATGGCTGATTGGCGTAGAATCGGTAAGGCTAGGGGTACACTAGAATTTAGGACTAGGAAATTCAAGGGGAAATGGAGCTTGCCGTTTTGTTGGGCGATCCCCTCCACTTCCGGAAAGTTGGTATTTTCCTCTCTCTTGGAGAACCGCAATAGCAACCTGGTTATCTTAGACGATTAAGAAGTATAATTGTTGCATACCGTATAGGTGCAGACCAGAACAAGAACCGACCTTTCAATACAAGGTATAAGATAGCACAGCGGAAGACTTAGATACCAGTGATCCGAGCAATCAATGTTGTAATGCAGCCCTGAACATACATCATCATCATCGTTTCATAGTGTGAATGGGTCTGGCGCTTCACACAGGAAGACAGCGCCAGCCCAGAACATGCACAGACGAGGAGGAAGGGGATAGACGAAGAGGAGGGGGAAGATGGGAATGTCGTCAACACCAAGTCTTCGGCACAAGCCCAAATAGTCCCTCATCGAACTGTCTGAATTCCAAATGTCAAGTCTGGATCCAATGTCGTCAAGTCTCAAGTCACAACTCTGTCTCTCTCTGTTGTAGTCTGAGAAGTCAGGTGGCGAGAGGGTGAGAAGAGAAGGTGGACTTAGAAGAGGAAGAAGAAGGACTCTCTCTCTCTCTGTGTTCAGTACTAACCTGTGAAGTTGGCGCCTTGATGCAGGTACCACGAAGATGGAGCTGGAGCGATGGCGTCACAGGTAAGTAACACTGGCCTCCGCCAGTCTCTCTCCCACTCTACGAGCTACTACCTACCAGCGCCCAGCGCTGAAGACTACAGCTACAGCTATGGCGCCCAGCGCTGAAGACTACAGCTAGCGCTACCACTACTGCCTAGCGCTGAAGACTACTGCAGCGCTCCTACTGAGTGCTGCGGCCGAATCCTGAAGACTACTACTCCTACTGACAACCTACCCGTGAAGTGCATGGGAACCTCCTATGTACTACGGGTGTGCCTCTTGAGCCTGCCGAAGGGAGGCAGGGGCTGCAGCTCCAGCTCCTGCTCGAGTACGTGAGGAACAGGCTATTTTGGGCCTGTTCCGCATCCCTGTTTCCATGCCTGAGTCTTAGGAGCAGGTCAAAACAATGAGGGCCTGAAAATGGCCCTCCGTTTCAGGCTGAAAACTCTGGGTCTGACAAAGACCCAGAAATAGGCTGAAACGAGGTAGGGCCTGCAGGCCCTCGTTTTTCAGCATCCAGGCTGAAATGAACGGGGCCTGTAAGCCCTAAGTTCTAGGCTTTTTAGGCTGAATGTCCGGGACGGGCCCTGTAGGGCCCGTGTGGCTACGCAGTATGCCACAATAATACATGTTCACAGTCTGAGTAACAAGAGCCTTCCAGGCCAAGGTTACTATCACAAGATTTGCCGGAAGGCTACACAGTAATTCGAGATCTGCCTATCTCCAGATTCCTATTCACAGATTTCATAAATGGGCATCAAGCGAAGCGGAGTAATGCTCTCAGTAATTCCGGAAGAGTGGTTGGGACGCTGGACCCGGTTTCCAGCATGGCTTCCTTGAGACTTCCGGGTTGAATTGTGAGGTCCCCGGCCTCGACCACATTTATTTCTTTGAATATAAAGCGACAACTTCACRAAAAAAAAAAAAAAAAAAAAAAAAAGCCGCCCACGGGCAGTTCCCGCATGCCTTTCCTAACAGTACTCCCCCGCCAAGATGCACATCCCGACATCCAACAGCGGGGGAGTCGTCGTCTTCTGTAGCGAAAATCAGGCGGAAATTTCTCTGCCGCCGCGTTTTCCAAATCTTTTACCGTTGCGGCGCTGCCCAAAGGATTTTATTTTTTTTGACCGGACGGGGTGACATTTGTACATGTTTTTCGATCCAAATTCAAGCCGCAGGTAGCAGTTTTGCCGCGCGCTGCGGTGTGTTTGTTTGGCGGGAAGAGTAGTBAAGGCCGATGAGGGCCTGATCACAAGCCACCAGAGGCGGACGCATATGCACGGCGGTCTTCACTCTGTCATCTCTAGCCCGTCTTATGCTGTGCCTTCGACTCGTTGTCCATATAAATAGAACGTTTCAATGTCATGTGTCCACAACACACTCCTCGTCGCCTTCGAGTCGTTTTCACTGCTCGGATCTAGCATCGAATGATTGAAGCCTGTAATCGCGCTGCTCTCCATTACGACGTTTTCCTTGGATTGCGCCGAGAGACCTCCTTTGTCGGTGTTTATGAACTTCGTGCTTTCGAGCAGCTTGTGGCGGGGCGAACGATATTTAGCTTGGTGACCTGCTATAGCGTTCGGTCGGATGTTGAAGAGCCCTTGGTTCACTACATGCGGCTGCTGTGACTCTGGCGTTACATAGCTGCTCTTCTTTGCGAACGAAATCAGTCTCGTAGACACTACTGCCGCTTAGTCTGCTATTCATCGAGCCTTCAATCGGTCCATTTGCGGTCTGTGCAGGCTATGCAATCGTCCCGGGGGCACAGCCCGTGAAGCTTTGTTGCTGGAGGGACTCAATCTGCCGTGATGGCCTGGTGAATCTCAGCTGGTTGAACTCGCAGCCAGACGTGTCCAAGTCCTACAAGTGACATCAAGCTGGGCACATCTTCACGGGTTTGGATTGTAGTGTTGAGTGTATTTGTAACTATCGGCCCCTTCTCATCCTCAATAGTACCTTTCTGCTCATAGCCCTCCGCGATTCGCTCCCCCTCTTCTTGCTGTTCCTTCGTGAAGCGCACATTGAAGACTTCGCAGGTCGCCGGAAAGACTTTGACATCATCCGACGTTGATCGTGTCCACAATGGGGCTCCTGCTCATTGCTCCAGTAATCATGATCCTCGTGGCGTGCGGTCATCCCCTCAGAAATGGTGGCATGCTCGCGACGGCGTTGGATGCCCAAGCTTCCCAATTCGCTGCTGCGGCTGCATCATCCTCGTCGACTGTCGGAGCAGCTTCTTCATCTGATCTCAGCTTCTCGGGAAGGCTCTGGCATAGGCGGACTTCCGCCGGAGTAGAGGAACCGGGGCCCAATCATTGGGACGGAAGCTTGGCGACCGTGGACGAGCAGGGAAAACTGCATCTTACGATCTTCAGGAACGCACAGGGAGGGTGGTCATGCGCCGAGGTTCTCCTTCCATCGTCTTTGGGTACGGCACTTATACGGTGCAGGTGTCATCTCCCATAAACGGCCTGCACGAGAACGTGCTGCTCGGGCTTTTCACCTACGCCGATGACGCACAAAGCGAGCTGTCCAACCCCCATCGCGAGTTCGACGTGGAGGTGGCCAAGTGGGGCGTTGCCAGCGACGCCACCAACACCCAGTACGCCGTCCAGCCGTACCAGCTGCCGGGCCAACGCCTCCGCTTCACGGTCGCCGGGCAGGACTCCGCGATCTATACAATGACTTGGTCGCCCAGCTCTGTGTCCTGGACCAGCACCTCCGCCTCTTCGGGGGCGGTTCTCCAAACATGGTCCTTCGAAAGCTCGCCAGAGGTGGGCGCCGTGCCATCACCCGGCAGCGAGGTGTTCCACATAAACCTCTGGCTGTTCGAAGCCAGCCTGCCTCAAGACCACGCGGATGTGGAGGTTGTCATCGACTCCTTCTCCTTCACACCTCTCAAGGCACCGGGTCGGAAGCTCTTATCACTCCAACGGCTTCGCCGGCATCGTGGCCAGCGCTCAGCATCATCACCGTGATTCAGGATCATCTTGACGGGTTGAAACCGTTGAATTGGATATTTATTGCGCATGTGTTCATTTGAGGGCTGATAAAAACAGTCCACTTTGTTTATTTATTGCTCATGCGGGTGGGTCAAGTAGGCGTAGGTAAGTTTGGCGCCATGTGCCCTGCCTCTCGGTTCGGTAAGACCTACGGCAGGGTGATGATCTCCCAAGTTTATGCTGGGGATCAAGAGGAGGACAGCAATAAAGCCGAGCCATTTTAGGCTGGGGGGGCCGTGTTAAGCCCTTCGTTTGGCGGTGGGGGGTTTGCACTATCGGACATGACTTCCAGATGGGTGTACTCAAGACATAATGATGCTCGTATTTGACATCTGAGCTGGAAAATTCGAAGCAAACAATTACATCCTGACCCTAGACTGCATTGTACTATTGTAGTGGGCCTGCCGCTTTCTGACGCGTGGCTGCTCACCCTCTGCCCTGCAGCTTCCCGCCAGAGGCTGGTGATGGCAACTCGAATACTACGCGGTCAGCTTCTGATATCGTAAGCGTTGGCCTGCAGCTCCGGACGTCAAGCCGATGATGTACGTGCACGTGATATATGCTTCACAAAAAGGATGCCTTTGGCCCATTGGGGTCGTAGGAGGCAAAGACGGGGTGGACAGGGGTCTACAGGGGTATACTTCAGTTAATTACAGACTAAGTTATTGATAATTTTTTTTTCATCTAATTCCAGCGACATCTTCCGTATTTTGTCTTTCTTTTTCTGCTGTGCTTTTTTTTTTTTTTTTTTCCAAGTTCAGTTTCTGTAGTATCGAATGAAATGCCTACGTCCGTGTGTTTCACCTTAGAATATCGGATGAGGTATCAGATCAGAATCGTCAAATCTTTCATCGCACCTGCTATTATCCTATCTCTTTGTCGAAGGTGTGATTGTCCTGTCGAATTTGTCCTAAACTTTGCAGCGCTTCTGTTTCGCTTTTGAACAAGAGCCCAATCGAATAATATCTGGACAAAGCACTGAACGAGCGATTCTCGTCTCTCTGGCCCAACCACGGGAACCGACGATCGCCGAAACTTTAAATTTGAGCTAGGGATATCCACCTCAATCAGTTAAGAAAACATTCAGCCTGATTCAGGTTAAGTTCTCACCCTACTCTGTGCTCTTCGCAGAAAGGGTTCTAACTTAGATCCAGCAAAAGCGATCATCGAGTACCGCAGTGCCGAAGAAATGAGGCGCTCAAAGCACAGTCTGAGCCAGGTTCACTGATAGGCTGCCGGGCACTCCGCTGGGAAAATGAAAAATTTCATGTCAACCGAATCAGCCATGTACCTGGAAAGCACCTATTGTAAAAACAGGCCCAGGGAGATGTGGCCACGGCGCGAAGGCGCCTTTCACCCAGGGGAAAGTTGTTTGGGCCGGTAGAACCAAACAGCCGAGTTTCGGGCGCCGAAAACCGAAAAGGTTTTGGAGTGGGCGCCTTCTACCAATTATCCTATCACGGTCATTGTGCCCCGAAAACGCGTTGCAAAAACCTCAGGGGCACCGGTTAGTGCAGCCCATATTGTCTTTATATTCAATGAAGAGTAACTAACTTAAAGACTAAAATCACCATAACGGCTTCTCTTGGAAATACGAACTCCTTTCTCGGCCTTTTGCCTAAGATCAAGTGTAGTATCTGTTCTGATCAGTTTAGTATCTGATCCGTGGTCCATCGGGCCACATTAAAAAAAAAAAAAAAAAAACGAAATCATTCACATGTCTGGGCTCCATATATCCACGTACTAGTTCACCCAAACTGTTCATATACCA